CGGGAGCTTGGCCGTGTCCTGCCGCCACGGGCTGGTGGTCCTGGCTCAGCTTTTGGGTGGGGGATGACCATCTTCTTGGAAAAAAAGGTGAAAAAGTTTCTATTTTCCTGTAGCCGATACAAGATAAGGACAACAGCATCCTTTCAAAAGGCAAATGACTCGCTGCTGACGGTGCTCCAGCACCTTGCTGGCACACCCCGTCGGCACGGCAGGGAGCCACGGGTTGCCGGTGGCGGTGCCGGCGCGAGGCGGCCACGGCGTCACCTCTGCCTTTCCCCCCGCAGGTTACAAAGTGGGATGAACCTGCAGATTTGCTTCGTGAACGACAGTGGCAGCGACAAGGACAGCGATGCCGACGACAGCAAGACAGAAACCAGCCTGGACACCCCGTTGTCGCCCATGGTAGGTCTGAGCAGCCATCCCACAGAGGCTCCAAGCAGGGAAACCGTAGGGCACAGTGGAAGCTGATAAAGAGCTGGTCCTGTTAAAAGAGCAACGCTAAACCCCAGAGCAGCATCGTCAGACATCAAAGAGAGAGACGCGAGGTGCTGAGGGGCAGAGGGCACATTGCCTCTGGCTAGCACAGAGCCGCTGTAGAGCAGATGCCTTCAGGTGAAGGTGTTCCTTCCTCCTTCCTTCCTCCCTTTCTTTTTGGCTCTGATAATTATCAGGGCAGTAATGGATACGCAGTGGTATCAGCGTCCACCAGCTTTCCTCTCCTCTCTTTTCCTTTGTGAATGTAACACCGCCGCCCCAGATGTTTTCCTCCAGCTTAACCAGTCCGTCCCTTCAACTCCTGCTGATCTGGTTGGCTCCTCTTCCCCTTCAAAGCGCTCAGGTTGCTATGAATAGTCAAGGGGGCCTATCTGGGAATTACTCTAATTTTTAAAGATAATCCTGTGGATTAAAATAAAATAAAAAAAAAAAATCTGTGCTCTTCACCATTTCTGTAGAAATGATACCACTTGTGAGGGCACAAAAATATGTTAAAGTAACAGCAAACTTCTTTGCTGTGGCACAGTTGGGGCGACGGGGCTGTAACGGCTGCGTGTCTGCTTCCCTAGAGCAAGCAGAGCTCGTCCTACTCCGACAGAGACACGACGGAGGAAGAGTCGGAGTCCCTCGATGACATGGATTTCCTCACCAGGCAAAAGAAACTCCAAGCTGAAGCCAAAATGGCCTTGGCTATGGCGAAGCCTATGGCCAAAATGCAGGTCGAGGTGGAAAAGCAGAACAGGAAGAAATCGCCGGTAGCGGATCTTGTAAGTGGGGTCTGTGGGACGGCGCGTGGGGGTAACGACGGCCCTTTTGCTGTTTGCTTTTGCGTGTCAAGACACGCTCATGGTGCTTGTAGACATGCAGAGGAGCAGCGGAGATGGGGACCGGCTGTCAGGAGCTGAAGGGTCGGCATGGGTCGTCTTATCGGGGCGTTGCGGGAGCAGGATGGATGCAGGGAAAGAGATGCTGAAGCGTGAAGGTTGTTAGTTCTCGAGGTTGGCGTGATGCTACTCATCCTCCAAGTTGCCATCTGCTCGTCCCGCCCCATCCTGGAGCACTCCTGCCTTGGTACGACGCCGCTCGCCATAGCCCTCGCCTCCCTTTACGTCCCTATATCGCTGGTGCTGGTGGGTTTGCAGACTTGGGTCAAACGTTGTATAGGTGTTTCAGCTCGATTTGGTAATCCTGGAGGAGTCGTTGATGCATGTTTGTGAGAGGGGGATGCCAGCAATGTAAACTGCCGCCGTTCGGAAATACAAATAGTTTGAAGAAAACAGTAAAAAATCGAAAATTTCTTTTCAGCTGCCACATATGCCTCATATAAGTGAATGCCTGATGAAGAGAAGTTTAAAACCCACTGATCTAAGAGACATGACTATCGGGCAGCTACAAGTGATAGTCAATGATCTCCACTCACAGATAGAAAGTAAGTGATACTTGTTTAATTATTCTTTGGTGTGTCCTGCTTAATTAAGAGCAGTTCTCCAGGATACACATAGAAATGTTGATAACTGTATAATAACAGGACTGTGTGGAAGAGGCACACCACAGAAGATGAGATGGAATTCTCTCCAGATGTGACTGCTTCAGCCTTTCTCTTTCCTTTTTTCAGTTTCTCCTAAAGCGCTCGCTTGGCTCCGTCAGAGGGGGGGGTTGTAGCATTGTGCCAGCGCCCAACACCCCACTTGTAACTCAAAACCTGGTCGGGTAAAAATAGTCTTGGGAAATCTGCCTGTCCTGGAATGGCTTTATGGCTGCGTCTTCACGTGAGGCTATGCCGTGGCATCAAAACCATCCGTACGTGGAGAGACCCTCCAGTTTAACAAACGGCCCGGGGGAAATCCACTCTTCAAGATGTTTGATGGGTCCTCACATTTGCCTGCCAGGACAGTGCCCCACCGCCTCATCTGTCTTTGCTCTCCCCAAAAGATGCAGGGGTTGTGGTTTTTTTTTTTCTCCCCGTCTTCCAATTAATTAATTAATTAAATTAACAATTTTGGGAGTAGACTTCTTTGGTGTCTGTAGGCAAAAAAAAATAAAGGTTGGTTGGGAGCTGCTGTGCTGCTCCTTCCCTACTCGCGTTGGTTAAGTGGCATCCCTTCTGGAAGCAGCCCGGCTCAGGGTGCAGAGCTGTGCCCGTGAGTTGCGATTTGTTATTTTGTGCTGCAAAGGCCCCCCAAAAAAAGAAAAAAAAAAAAAAAAAGAGCTGTATTAATTAGCCTCACTTCAGAAAGCACCCAAGCGTGTTAGTGTCATTAACACCGAGCTCGCTGCCCGAGCCGCGGGGGCGTTAAACCGCCGTGGGTGTGTATTTAACAGGCTGAACGCTGGCTCCAGCGCTGAGCCGGGCGGGTGCAGCCTGCAGGGAGCAGGTCAATGGTTCGCATGGTCCTTCTGGTTTTCTTCTTCTTCCTCCCCGCTCTTTGACACAACCCCGAGCAAGAATCCAAGGTCGGGAGTATCCCTCTGGAGCAGAGGGCCGGCTTGGGCAGTGAGCCCAGACCGGGGGGGTGTGCAGCGTGTTGTGCGTGGCCGCGGGGCGTTCCGCCCCTAAACCCACGGCCGCCCGGGTGAGCGGCTCGG